TCTCTCGCAGGTCCCCCTTTATGTCGCTGGGCCCTTTTGTTCTTTACCAATTCTTCAGAAGTTTGTCAAAGAAAGAATTTTAGTAAAAACCGCAAAGACTTTTTTTCTTCAGTGAGTTGGGCGGCCCGGGGAAAGACTCTAAACAATGTTGCTCTTCAATTCCGTTGAAACAACGTAGACCCGCCCCCATAAAATGGTAAGAATGTCAACTTTAATATTGTACAAAGAGTAGGATGTTGCATTTATAAAAAAATAGGAACAATATCCCCCTCAAAATGAAATGTTCCCTTTTTTCCCTACATGCACAAACATAAATTTTCTAATGAATTAGTATTTAAATCTAAATGAAGTTATATTTGAAGCAGAGTAAAAGAATGATTGAATATAACACAGACAATGACCAGACCATATATGACAATAGGACTGTGACCTGCACCCTCTGCAGCCAGCAGCCCAGGAAGCCAAACTCAGCTTCTGCTTCAAACTTCAGGACTTGATCAATGACTGCGGCTAACCCAGTCATATAAAATGCCTTGCTTCTAGTTAGCATTCCTTCAGTTTCAGGTTCCCCCATGCCAACAACCGCCAATCAGAATACCTGAAGTCTTCCCTGTTTTCACTCTAAAGCTTTCCCATTCCCCTGCCTGCCTTTAAGTCTCTGCCAAACACAAGTGATAGTGGCTGACTTTCTTATTATAACAAGCTCTGAATAAGCAGCCTTCGTTTCCACATAAGCTTTTTGTGTGGAAGGCTTTTTAAAATATAATAACAAAGAGATGAACACTTAAGGAAAATAGTGATAGGTTTGATTACATGAAACTGTGTACTAGATTTCTTAAGGGATTGGGTAACACATGTACTCGTCCCTGCCCTTGTTGAGTGTGTTGGTAAAATTTTTCTGAAGGGCAATTTTGTATGTTGTTTAAAAATAAAAATATTTGACATTTTGATTCAGTAATTCCACTTCCAAAATTTTCCCAGGGAGATCATTAATAACGTGTTAAAATATAATATTTATAAGGCAACAATCTTAATTCAGTTTAGTGCTAGAAGAAGCATAGTAAGAGGAATAAAACAGAGAGAGCCCACTAACATCCCAAAGTATAAAAGTGTTCAGTATGCGATAAAGAAGCATTTCTGATCAGTTGTAAAAAGTAGGTTATCACAGAAATTATATTTGCATAATGAGTTAAATAGTTAAAGGAAAATAAAGGACCTTATTTTCTGATATACCCTCAAAATTCTTTTCAGAGTAGACAAGAAAAATAAAATAAAAGGCATCCAGATTGAAAAGAAAGCGTAAAACTATCTCTACTTGCAGATGACATGACTTTATATATAGAAAATCTCAAGGAATCCACCAAAGAACTATGAGAACTAATGAGTTCAGCAATGTGGTAGAATAACTATAAAAATATTTTTGAAAGAAATTAAAGAATACCTAAATAAGTGGAAAGACAGCCTATGTTCATAGATTAGAAGACTTAATATTGTTAAGATGGGCAATATTTCCCAAATTGATCAACAGACTCAACACAATCTCTATGAAAATCTCAGCTGGCTTCTTTGCAGAAATTGATAAACTGATCCCAAAATTTATATGGAAAGTCAAGGAACTCAGAATAGACAATCTTGAAAAAGAAGAACAAAGTTAGAGGCCTTGCACTTCTAGATTTCAAAACATACTATAAAGCTACAGGAATCTAGACAGTGTAGTAATGGCATAAGGACATATAGACTGATGGAATAGAATTGAGAGTCTAGAAATAAACTCTTACAGTTACAATCGATTCATTTTCAACCAGAGTGCCAAGAAAATTCAGTGGTGTAAGAATAGTCCTTTCAACAAATGATGTGGAGACTGCTAGCTATCCACATGCAAAAAATTTATTTGGACCTCCACATCACACCATATATAAGACCTAACTCAAAATAAATAAAAGTCTTAAATGTAAGAAGAAAATATAGGTGTAATTCTTCATGACCTTGGATTAGGCAATGTCATTCTTCTAGCATCACAGACCAGGATTACGGGAAGTTAGAACTCTCAAGGACTGGAGCTGACATTTGTACATTTTTATTGTTGTTAATCCTTACCTGAGGATATTCCAAACCCCCAACCCTTCAGTTATGGGGTTGGATGCTCTAACCACTGAGCCACACTGGCCAGGGCAATAGCATCTTCATAGTACTCTCCATGAAGACTACAGAAAGCTTTTAGATCATCTGATTATTCCATGCCTTTGAATTGGCTCTTGCCAGGTAGAACTATCCAATCATGTTTAATATCTGTAGGCTTATTATTATTTTTTAAAAATATATCTTTATTGATTTGAGAGAGAGGAAAGGAGAGAGACAGACAGACAGAAACATCAATGATGAGAGAGTCATTCGAGATCAAGCCCGCAACCCGGGCATGTGCCCTGACCAGGAATCAAACGGCGATCGCCTAGATCCTAGGTCAAAGCTCAACCGCTGAGCCACCCCTGGCCGGGCTATAGGCCTACTGACAAGGTTTTGGGTCTTATATTTCATCCAGTCAAAGGTATGTATGTAAGATCTCATTTGCATACAGGGTGTATAGAAATAGACACTGCTGGCTTACCAACCACTTTTCTCTTTCATTCCAGGGTATCGGAAAACAATGTCCGTCATGGCCGAACAGCCTTCTAAATCTATCTTTTCCAAGAAAAGCATCAGGAAAGCCACTTCCAATACAGAGAAGGGGAAGATGTGTTAGAGTTTCCCCTAAGTCAGTTATTCCATCTATGTCTACAATGTTTTGAAGCAGGTTCACCCCAAGATTGGTAACTCATTAAACATCAGACGCACCGTGAATCATTTTCGTGACAATATCATTAGCCCTAGAGATGCGTTTCATACTATGCCCCCCTCTTGGGCCCTCTCCACTCAGCGCTCCACTGACACCTCCAGAGAGATCCATGCACTTGCCCCTGGGGAGATTAGCAAGCACACCGTGTCCCAGGCCACCAAGACCGCCTTCAGGTACACCAGCTGCAAATGAGCTGCCTCTGACTGCCTGAGCATAGCAACCCAAAGGCTCTATTCAAAGCCACCCCAGTTTTCATAATAATAACTGTATTCCAGTAAGGTCTGATCTACTTTATTTCTTGAAGTGTGGCATTCTACTAATATTAATATTAATCTTTTTGCACAGCCAGTGACTCAGTGGTTGAGTGTTGACCTATAAACCGGGAGGTCGCTGCTCAATTCCCTGTTAGGGCACATGCCTGTGATGAGGGCTCCATTCCCAGTAGGTGGCTTGCAGGAGGCAACTGATCAATGATTCTCTCATCATTGATGTTTCTATCTCTCCCTCTCCCTTTCTCTCTCTCTGAAATCAATAAAAAAAAATTTTTTTAAACATCTTTTTTACAATGAACTATTACCGATTTTTTTTTAGTATATCTATGGTCTAATTTGTTCAAGATAAAATAGTGAGTTTTGTTCAATAATATTACATTAGCCCTGGCTGCTTTGGCTCAGCAATTAGAGTGTGGGCCTGCAGACTGAAGGGTCCTGGGTTCGATTTCAGCCAAGGGCGTGTGCCTCGTTGCAGACATGTCCCCAGCCCTGGTCAGGGCTCATGCGGGCAGCAACCAATTCAATGTGTCTCTCTCACATCAGTGTTTCTCTTCTCTCTCTCTCTCTCTCTCCCTTCCGCTCTCTGAAAAAACAATGGAAAAAATATCCTCGGGTGATGAGCCTGGCTAAAAATTCATCAATCTTGTTTATCTTTTCAAAGAACCAGCTCTTTTTGTCATTGATCTTTTGTATTTTTTTTTAGTCTTTTTGTCATTTATTTCTGCTCTGATCTTTATCATTTCCTTCCTTCTACTTATTCTGGGCTTTTCTTGTTGTTCTCTTTCTAGGTTTTTAAGTTGTAGGGTTAGAGAGTCTATTAGAGTTTTTCTTGTTTTTTGAGGTAGGCTTATAGTGGTATANGTCTATTAGAAGCTTTTCTTGTTTTTTGAGGTAGGCTTTTAGTGCTATGAACTTCCCTCTCAGGACTGCTATCATTGTGTCCCATAGATTTGGAGTTGTTGTGTGTTCATTTTCATTTGTTTCCAGGAAGTTTTTTATTTCTTTCTTGATCTCTTTGGTAACCCATTCATTGTTTAAAAACATGCTATTTAGCCTCCATG